ACTCATTTGTAGCGTATATGAATTGATCAACAAAAATTTCTAGAATTGATTTCCAAATTTGGAAATCTCCCTGACTGGATTAACAATTCCCTTATTTTATTATAATTTATTTTAATGTGTGACAAGCATGATGGAAGTTTGATTTCATTGGCTAAATTTGTGATGATCCCCCTTCAAGATATCACATAAAAATTAATTTTTATTGGCTTGAAGATCATTGCACAATTTGAAATTTCGTGGATTCGGGTTGACCTCAGGCGAATACTAAAATTATATTTTCAGGCGAAAACCAAAATTATTGTTAAAAATTCCACATTTAATAAAAAAATTCTATAAAAGAGAAAGAAATTCTGTAAAATTTCAAAAATTTAAATTATAAAATAAATTTAAATCAAATAAAAATTCTAAATAATAACAATGCCTAAAAATGCTCAAAATAAAGGTCCTTGCGAAATAATTGATTGTCTGAGTATTATTGATACTAATAGATTTAGAACAATTACTGATACTGCATTGGAAAAGTTGCAAGAACATCCAGATTATACAAATTTTAATTATTTAAAGCTTAATGATCAACTTTGCCATCCTCATTATATGAAATATGTTGAATCAACAAAATGTAGAAGATTAAACTTAAAAGATTCTAATAAAGATAGCATTGAAAAAAAAAGCAAATGATAATTTTTTTGTAGAAGATATTAAAATTAATATCAAAATTACTGAAAATGGTGTTCTCTTATCTGAGGAAGATTTTAAATTATTAGTTCAAAAAATTGATGATATGGAATTTACAATTGAAAAAAACCAAAATGAAATTGAACATCTACTTCAGTCAGGGTTTTTACCAAATTTGGAAATCGATTCTAGAATGATCTACATAATTTTAATAGGCTCTTGTGCATTCATTTCCGTTGTAAAAACTTATGTTTCATGTGACTTTACACAAATAAATTTTGTTGTAATTTTAAACCATATCATAAAAATAAACAAACAAGTATTCATATTTTAATAATCACCAAAGAGTTTGAAATAATCACCCAGACTTCAAAAAGTAAATGAGAGCTAAAAAATTGAAAATTTGCATATTTTTTATGTTGAGTCGCGGAAATTAATAATTTTTTTATAATAATAATAATAATTTTATTATTAGTGACAGAATACCAAAAGATACAAGCCAAAGATCTTCCATGTATTTTTGCTAACTTAGTCGATCTATACACAGATAAGGGCTTGAAACCATGTGCAGTAAAGAAGAATCAAACATGGCGTTATGCTAGTAGTAAAGCAGCAGCTGAAAAACTACAAGCCTGTCATAACTATATCCCTGAACTCATTCATATTTCATTAAATTCTTTTTCTGTTTGTGAGGTACATTATAACCAAGTTATATCTACTAATAAATTTTATGAAACTCTCTCAAATTTAAATACAGGCAAAATTGACACTCCTGTTGTAAAAAAAAAAAGATCATGTGGAAACAATACTTCTAGCATTAATACTGACACAACTGTTCAGTTTACTGAAGCAGAATTTGCCAACAATGAATCTGTTCCTATAGAAGAATTCCAAAGAATAAAAAATTTGTTGGAGTTACGTGAACTGGAATGTTGGAACAAATCACAACTTATTGTAGAACTTAATTTATAATGTTTATATTATATTTATATCATATATATTCAATTTAATTAATTTTATAATGTTTATATTAATTTATTATATTTATATTAATTTAATTATATTTATATTAATTTTATAATGTTTATATTAATTTATTATATTTATATTAATTTAATTATATTTATATTAATAATATTTATATTAATTTTATAATGTTTATATTAATTTATTATATTTATATTCATTTAATTATATTTATATTAATTTATAATATTTATATTAATTTATTATATTTAAATTAATTTATTATATTTAAATTAGGGAGATTGATCTTAAACAGTTTGCAATATGTCAAGGTTACAAAAATGATAAACAGCTTGCTTATTTTAAAAAATGTTATGATCATCATAAGTCCTGGGATTCTGTCTGTAACATATATCATCAAGCAATGTCTCTGGAGCTTATGTGGCCTTATGTAAAAAATCATTCTAATCCATCAGTTGAAGGATACATAGTGTGGGCTAAAGGACAACAGGATCCAATTTATCAAATAAAGTATGAACAGGTGGGAAATTTTAATATTATTTGTTAATTAAATACATAGACTTATTGGATTAAACATTAATAGTTTATAAAAATTGCATAATAGACATTTTATTATTTGCAAGCCATTATCAATTATAGAACAGCTGTAAGAACTAATCGCCCTTTATTTACCTGAAGAAACCCATTGAGATTATATCAATGAAAATCAAGACAAGCAAAATATCAAACAAATTTTGAATGATGTTTTTGAGAAGTTGAAAGAAAAAAGCGAAAGGTTGAAACTATTTTTTCTCCCGTTTTTTCTAGAATGGAAGTTAAAGCCAAAAGCATTGCCAAGTTAATTGACATCTTTACTAACCAAATGCCAAATTTAAATAATAATCATGATACAGTTGGTCAAATTTTAAATAAAAAACCATGGTATGATGGGTATGATAACACAATTAAAATTGATCATGGATTTCTTATAAATACAACAAGACACGATAGCAAGTTTTCATTGCATTGCATTCAAATGATACCTTATCCCATATTACAGTCAGGGATATTACCATAAATAGATTGTAGTAGATCACACCTTTTATAGGATCAGAATTTTCTAGAAGAATATCCTTCAAAAAATAATGCAAACAAAATTATATACACAAAATATGATATTTATATATTTATTAATATATTTATAACATTTATTCATTAATATATTTAATAATAGATAAATTTAGATCTTAGTATCTATAAAAAAATAAAATTATATATCCTTCCTTATTTTATTATATCTTCTTGCCTTTTAATTTGAACTTTCTACAGAATCAGAATCATCAATTTCATTTCCTTCATTAAATAAACATCTTACCTCTTGTAATATAACCAACAAATCATCTTTGTTTTTTGACCTAAATCCATGATATTTCGTTGATAATTTTTGTCCATTGGTTCAAAGAAAGATTCTAACTTGATTATAAGTTCTCGTTTTGTCATTTTTAATTCATCTTCCTGGGCGATTGCCTTTTCTTTGGTTATTGGAATAGGCTTAGATATATAAGTTGTACTTTTGTTGTAGAATACTTATACAATATGTTCTATAATTGATAATAGCTTGCAGATAATAAAATCTATTATACAATTCTTATAAAATATTAACATTAAGTCCAATAAATCCATTTATTGTAATCAACAAATAATATTAAAGCTTACCTGTTCATATCTTGTTATTAAGATCAATGATAAGTTGTGATTATTGTTGGCATTCTTTTAATTGCTGTTGACGTTCTTCTGATTGCTATTGCAGTTGTATTTATTATCAAGATTAATAATAATTCTTGATCGTTATTGACATTCTAATTCACTTGTTGTCAGCATGTCTTTTGCTCTTTGAAGTTCTTCCAAAAGATTAGACTCATCATCAGTAATGTTATCTTCTGTATTATCTTCTCTAAAACTTTTGTTCCTTTGAGCTGATCGGTCTACATAAAAAAATTCTTACAAAAATATCAGTAACAACTATCTGATTATAATGCTTTTCACGTAATGAATAATCTTCTAAAAAACCAGTTAATAAAGATAGTTCAGGAAAATACTTAGCTAATTTATTTACTCCTTCAGCTGGTTTTCTTGTATTTGACATTCTAGTAAGAAGAATTGAAATATTCAAGTAATTTCAAAAAAAAAAAAAAAAAAAAATTAATAATAATAAATCGAAAATTCAAGCCAAAATATGCCTCTTATTGAAAAAAAAAACTAGTGTGCAAACCTTTGTGGATGAAGGTGGATTATTAAAGTATATGTTTAAGAAAGTCAAATTATATTAGTAATATTATATTTTATAATTATGTCATATTATCATCCCTTGGGCCTTACAAAAAATGTCACTATTTTTCTTGCAAAAGGACACGTAGATCATTCTAGAATAAAATTCCTTTTATGGTAAGGAATGTTTTATCAAAATTTTCTAGAAATAATTTTCTTCAAAAGTAACACAAGCAAATTTAATTTTTTAAAAAAAAAATACACAAAGCAAGTTACGAATACTTTGCTTTTCTTTGCTGATTGAAGTCTCACAATAATCAATTTAACACAACACAATACAATATGCGATAATGACTTTGGTTAATAACTGTTAACCCTTTGTATAAATGGTTAATCAATAATAACTTGTCAACACTTAATACTTTTGCCATTCAGTCTCAACACCTTACATACCTTACATTTACACTTAAACAAATAAACCCATATACAAAAAATTAAACAAAAACATTTACAAAACCAACAATTAAACTATTGCTTTCTACCAAAGCAAGTAATCAAAACCAAATTACAAAACCTCAGAGTTCTATACCAACCCTGATAACCAAATGGATACTGTTTAATTTCCGACTACAAAAGTGTTTTATTAAACAAAAAAAAATTACTTTATTTTATTATTAAATTATGAAAATGTTTATTGCAAAATAATATTTGTCAAATTTGAAATTTATTAATTAAATCTTGGCTCTGAATTATCAATATAGAAGAATTATTTAATTATTTAAATTAACAGTTAATTGCCCATTAGTTAGAAAAATTAATTTGCTAGATCAAAAAGTGACATTATCTTTTTTGAAACTAATTAATTATGTTTGTTCCATTAATTTAATTAAATAAAATTAATAAATGCGAATGTAAAAAATTACAAATATAAAGTATTAATAAAATGAAAAAGGTTAGGACACATTTCTAACATACTATTACTATATGATTGGACAGCACTTTGATAAATCCATTTTATTTATCACACTATTTAAATTGAACTTTCTACAAAAACCAAATCATTAATTTCATTTTCTTCATTAAATAAACATCTTACCTCTTGTAATATAATTAACAAATCACTTTTGTTTTTTGATCTAAATCCACGATATTTGCATCGACAGTTTTCACCCATTAGTTCAAGGAAAGATTCCAACTTGATGATAAGTTCTTGTTTTGTCATTTTTGATTCACTTACCTGGGCAATTGCTTCTTCTTTGGTTATTGGAATAGGCTTAGATAAATAAGTTGTATTTTTATTGTAGAATACTTCCACAATATAATTTTCTCTAGCCTTTTTTGCTAAATTGCTAACATTTTTCAACTGTTCACTCAATTCATTTTCATCAACCAGGCTTTTATACATAGATGTTATTTTTGTTGGATTAACAAAATCAAGATTTCTTAATTGAACTCTAAATCTTTGACATTCTGTACTTGATTCAGGATGAGTTCTTGGAGCATTGGAATGAACATCTTTATATCCAATTGTTTTAAATAAATTGGTTCGCAGCTAAATTTATTATGGTGCGCGAAGTCTATAACCACCATTTACTGTGCCACACTGCCAAATTTCACCAAAAACTCAAAAACCAAAA